CGGGAAGCACTGCCTCTCTTCTGGTTCATGCATCTTTCGTTAATGGTAAATTTGACGTGTGTAGTTTTAGTAAAATGCAAGAATGGAAAGCCTCGTAACTACTTATTTCTTCTAATCTCTTTTCAGCAAATTTGCATAGTGAAGGCAGTTGTACGCTCTGCTCTGTGACTAAAGATAGCAATAAAAACAGCTCCCAGGTCTCTGTTTAAATGCAGCAATACCTCTACCAGGCCGGGCCCTGACCCTGCCAAACAGCCACAGCATCTTATAGACACTGAGGCTCGAGAAGCTCGGTTGGCTGTTGTGCTTGGACACTGCCAACCTCTAGAGGAAGGCTGAAGTTCCTCTGAGGTGTAAACAGCACCTGGATCTCCTTTGCCACCCTCCCTGTGCAGATTTCAAGCTTGGAGGAGTACTTCAGGAGACAGAACATGAGCAGACACACACAATACCCTTATTTCCAAAATAACTGCTCTTTTCTGATGGAAGTGGCCCATTTCAAGCTGTAGGCAAGTGTCATTTGAAGGCAGCCGCAGTTCAGCTAAGCTGCCCATAACCACAGCCGAGACAGGCCCGCCGAGCGCTTGTGCTGTAGAGTAACACGCCGTGCCCGTGATGGCCCTCACACGCCAAATGAGCCCCAGTGGGGGAAGCTGGCTGTTCAGCCTGCCCATCCAAACCACGGTCTCTGCCTCTTCAAAAGGGCGGCTTCTGCGTAACTTGGTGGTCTAAATGTTAACCCTGCCTTAAGGAACCCACCTCTTGTTTAATATCCACTACCTTTCCCCATTCCTTACCTGCACATCATTGACCAAAATTAATTTATACCTCCAGACATAAAAGTTCTTGAGGCTTTAGCAATTTACGGAGACTAAATACAGGTGCAAGTATGTCCTTCCTTTTCCTCGCCCCCACTTTTGTCTTTTTCTCTTGGAGATGTTCATTACATCAGTTATTTTCAACTTATGTTAAGATCTTACAGGATGCACTCTCTTTCCTCTCATTTATTCTGTATTTTCCCTAATTTGTTACTTGTAAAAACATAAAGGCTCCCTAGAGTTTCAGACAATCATAACTTGCATTTCAGCAATGCTTCTCTCTTATTATAGTCTTTAGAGTTTCATTTATCCATGTGTTTCAATTCAAATAGGAACAATGTTACATTAAGATGTAGTCTTCCATTATTATATACAGAATATATTCCATCAGTTTGAAACATCAATAATTTGAAATATTTTACGTATTTCCCATTTCCCCACTAATTCTTGAACAAAGTTGAGAAATAAATACAGCAAATGTTAAAAAGCTTAGTAAAAGCCAAACATCACATTTCTATTCCATACATCTGAAAGCCAGCAAGGGTATTCTCCTCCTAAAGCCTCTGCTAGACCTTTTTATTTCCAAAAAGAGGGAAAAGTTAAGACAAGGGAAATAAATCTCATTAGGAAAAACATCCTGCAGTTTAATTGAAATGGCAAACGCAAAGTTAAAAAAATAATAAAAACCTACACATCATGAAAACTAAATCAGTAGAATAAATATATATACATATAGCAGTTTTCAGAGTAGTTGCATCTTAAAAACAACTCATGAAAATGACAGGCAATACTAATAGAGACATTCTGTTTAAATATTTGGTATTTTAATTTACGAACATACACTTTCTCTTCTGTATTTATTTCAGGAAAACATGGGGTCATGCTGTAAAGTTCTGGTATTAGTATTCTCTTTTTATTGTTCCTTTGGAAAGAAAAGTGTGTGATTTTTGCTGTTCATTCTACTTCCTTAAATTACTGAACACAGCCAGGTTCTATGTCCAAAGCAGGAGCAGATCACTACATAGAACATTTTACCCTGATGCTGTTCGGGGAGCAAAATGGGAAGCTAAGTTGAATGTGTTGATTCAGACTCAGCCTTTTAAAAAACTACTTTGTCATATCCGCTTTTGGCAACAAACAGAATGCCTTCACTGATGCCTTATCTTCTCTTGATCTTCTCTTCTTTTTGAAGTTAAGTGTGTTTCCAGTGGAATGTTTGCTTCCAAGGGTTTTTCTTCTCTTTCTGATCATGTAAACTGGTAAAGAGCAAGACAATCCTCCCTACCACGCAGTTCTACTGCTTTTTGCTGACAGGTGTATGACAGGTACAATTTCTGTGCTGTCAAGAGCACAGAAAGTATATTTCTTATTTTACTAACAGTAGGGCTCTTGAGATCTAAAAAATAAATCAGTTCTTCAAATGTTAACAGTGAAGGTCTTGAACTCTGCATCTTTTAGATGATGGCTCTTCCATCCTCAGTGCTTCTGAATTACTGCAATCAGATTTGCCCTTATCCAAGACAACAGTTATACCAGATAGAAGGTACCCTCCACCTCCGCTCATTGTCAGTTTTGGATGGCTTCGATCTGGTAAGACCTTTAAAAAAACAAACCCCAAAACAAACAAAAAAACAAGCATTTGTAAAAACTCGCTCTATATGTGCACATCAAATTGTGTAATTTAAGCTTACAGTATAAGATGTAATTTTTTTTTTTCAGCCACCACAACAAACAGCCATTTGGAAAGTGTATTTATCATTAAAGGGCAAAGTATCTGCATAGCAGAAACCAGTTATAAAAATACATAAGAATACAGGCTACTGCCTTACTGATTACTTCATTACTCCACCCTTAATTGGTTTAGTGGTGGACTTGGTAATGTTAGACTGGTAATGGTTGGACTGGATGATCTTAAAGGTCTTTTCCAACCTAAATGATTCTATGATTCATGGCATTTCCAGCAAAATTACAAAGCCAAAGTTTGGGATACATGAAAGTCTCATTAATGTGTTTGGATCTGGTGTACTTTATAAGAAACCACAGCTGGTCTAACAAAACAGCAGTAAGTAGTACAGTAATTTCCAGTTCTGTCGCTGTCATCTTTACGTAGCTATGCTTAAGGTAAGACATAGCAATCAACCATCACTTTCAGCTGCATTACACTTTTCTGTAAATGCTTTCTCTTCAGTTACGCTTCCTCCTCGCTTTGACTGCCATCACAGGTCTCAGCTGATTTACATGTGTCCAGAAGACGGTGCAGTATTGTTCCTAACTGCACCTGAACATTGTAACTCTTGCCAAGCCTAGTGTATGTGAACATCTTCATCTATGTATCTCCTAATCATTCCCAATTTGGCTGCCTGACCAATAGTAATCATGGCCACCCCTGAATTAAATCTTCCCCTAAATAATAACTCCTTATGGACTCCAGAAGCCTATGGGCAAAGAGAAAGTCAGTAAAATGCATCTTGTTTTCATTGTTCAGTTCCCAGACTGGAAACTTCTTGTTACTTTAGTTCCAGGAAACGTGTTATTTGAAGACACTGACTTTGTAAGTCACCACCATTCTTAACATTACAATTTTTTTTTCAGCTATCAAACCAACTGGAAATGAATAAACACTTGTAATATTTTGCTACATCTCTCTTACACGACAATAAATTGTCTCTCACTTTAGGCTAGCCACTAAAGCAGCACAACTATTAAACTGTCAGTGTGCTACAAGTATTTCAGCAAATGTTTAAATGAAATGCTTTGGAAGAACACAATAAAGTATTTCCATTTGAAATTGTTGCAATGAAGCATTAAAACTCTTCAGAATATCTTCCCACCGCTCTCAGGTAAAACAAACGCATGAGCTTATACACAGTTTCAGTCAGTCCAAAAAACATAATTTCAGAGAGTGTTTTGCTCCCCAATATTCATGCAGTTTTGACAACCACTTACTGCAATCCTTACCTGGTAGTTTCGTAGCCAGGTTTCAGACAGCTTTATTTTTTTTTCTTTCCCTCAGCTTTGTGTAACATTCTAATAATGGCTTAAAAAAAACCCAAATAGTAGGTTATACATCAGAATAGTCTTGAACTATAACAGCTAAAATAACATACTTGATTTACCTCTTTATACTGGCAGTAGACAACAAAAGGCCTTGAAGGAGCAACAAATTCCAATAAAGAAAGTAATAAAGGAGTGGGATGAAACTTGCTGGCTACAATTAAGCTGCAAAAGAAATTACATGTGCATTAGTTTTCTGCTTCTAAAACCTATTCATCAAGTGACATTTTCTCCTACTTAGGAGAGTAATCAATTATAGCTTAAATGTTGCTACTCAGCATGTTTTCATGGCTCTAACAACTCCCCAAATATAAAAACAAATCACGATTTCCTACTTGCATAATTAAGAGGATAAAATACTTGTTCCCTGAAGTGCACTATATTAAACATATTGCAGAAGCACTCATTTCAGCTGTGTGGAGCTCCACAGGAATTCCTGTGACCCAAGAATTTGCATGCTGCTTTCTCTACCCTAAGACCATTGTCCAAATTAAATTTCTCAATTAAATTAAAATTAAATTTTAAATTTAAATTAAAGTTAAATTTTGTGACTGCTAATTGTTGCTTAGAATGTAACCTCAGTCGTGACTCCTTAAACTGGGTAATCTTCATTAAATATAGTTTTATATAAAAAAAAGTTACTATAGTTACTATTTACGCTCAAAACAATCCCTTAATGGTCATGACTAAAAATCTTTTAAAAAGAAATTACGTCCTTGCCAACTTAAAGGCTTCATATTTTATTCTCCACCCTCATTTTAATATCATAGTACAACTTGGATTTACAGATGTTTAAGATTCTCTGCAGATATCTAGAGTTTTAATCAAAAAAATCACTGGTAAACTAGATTGCAAGAAATGGTTGAGTAAATTAGTTAATAAGTTGTACTTGTGCAGAAAGAACGGGCTAATTAAACTACTTCTCCAGTATACAAATACTGTATGAGACAACCCATCAATTAATATTTGGTCTCCAGGGGAATGTACAGCACTGGAGACACTGTTAAACTTACCTAACAAAAGGAAGGTAAAAATGGATGTTCAATTTTCTAAACACAATAGAGGTGAGACAATTCTTTTACAGTTGTTTCCAGTTTGGTTTTCTGCTGGCCATGGCCTTGCGGGCCATTTACTTCAAATCCAAACTTCAAAAAATTTGTGCTCAGTAATTAACCAAGCAGACCATAAAGCAAAAAGACTCCAGAATGTGCCTCAGAAGGCTTGGAGTGCTGCATTGACACTGCCAGGAGCTCTGCCAGACAACAGGAAGGTAAGTGAGAGATGGGAGACTGTGAAAAATCAAGTTCTGTTCTCTCATATGGCAGCACATATTGCTGTCAGCAGGTAGTCTGGCCAGTTGCAAAATTAACGTAATGGGTGAGAGAGGAGGAGGTGGTAGAGGAAGGGCAGGGAAGGGTAGAGGCAGGGGGTGTGGTCTATTTCTGAACATATGGAGTGTCTATAAACCAATCTCTGCTTTCATCATATCAGAAAAAAATTAATAGTCTATCTTAAAAAAGTATTCTTTAGAAGAATGCCAAATCCCTAATGAATGTCTTCCTCAAAGACCTATGACAGACTTCAACTGTCATAAATGGAATTGAACAAATAGGTTCAGTAGGACTGTTTTAATACATAACAGCACAGAAGACATAAATTTTATTGAAATTGTATCTTCTACATTAAGTAGTGAATATTGTAAAATTCAGGACCTCAAGAAGTAATTCTCCTAAAGTTGGTGCCCCTCTTTACGTAACGACTAGTTTTTCTTTACTCTGACAGTAAGTCCTAATCTTTCTCCCCACCTCCAATGTCAACCAGCTTTTACCTATCCTTTCCCTGTTTCTCTCTTGCAAAACAAAACAAAATCCTAACTTCCCTGCCTGCTTCTACTCATGTGCCAAGTTGTTAGTTTGAATCATTTCTTTACTGTGTGCCAATTTTTCCTGGCTTAGCAGTATATGTACCCTGTGGTTCTTGATCTAAACAAATGGTGGGCTATGAAAGGCAGATGACTAAAGAAAGGTGATCCTGACTGAGCCATTCTTCTCCTCCCCCGCATCGTGCTGAAGACTTCCTAAAGCAAGAAATCACTCATACCTTCAAGTATATAATTTGTTACAGCTTTCATGCATTACAAAGGACAAAAGAATTAGACAAGTGATTGAAAACAAATAAACAAGAGACAAATACTAAATAGGCTTCCTTGAACTCAAACTTAATCAAAACCGAATATACTATTTTAGACTACAGGAAGAAGCAAGTAAAGTCAAATACTAATTTTCACTTTGCCAGACCATGCACAGACATTGATTGTAATGATGAGTGCAGGAAACGGTGGTAAAACCATAACAAAACACTACCACTGTTTAGGCAGCTTAATGGTCATCCACAGGCATCACCAGTGGTGCTGCTGCCCAACAAACATGCAGTACTTTTTATGAACCTCCATTACTGTTTTATTGCTTCAGAGAACACAGAATGACCTGTCTCTGCATCTTTACAGAAAAGGCTAATTCTACCACTTAAATATGCTAAATGAGATATACTAAAATATGAATGAGCATGAGTTAAAACATTTAATAATAATAAAAACTATACACAAGCATTTAAACATAAGTGTGTATTAAAATTTAGCCAAGCAGAACAGCTTTATTCCCAGTGAGCCAATATTCTTAGGAGGAAAAAATGAATATGAATGTTATTAACTAAACCAATGTTACTTGATGAACTCAAATCACTTCAGCATTTGCTAAGAACATCATGAAAAAGTCACAACCACCAAGTGCTCTTACACTATTGTGGGGCTGAATTTCTAGGAATATATTTATCATATTTGTTTTAAACTTCTAATATTAAATCTGCACATTAAATTGTTCCTTGGGAACAATCAATCCTGGCTAAAGCACATAAAATGAAGTTATGTGTTTTTTCCTGTGTAAAAAAGAAATGAGTTTCTAAAAACAAACCAACCAACCAAACTCCAAAACAACACACTTCGTTCCAATTTAATAAACCTAAAACCTCAGGTTCTATTTTGCCAATTAGAATCCTGTGATTTTTATCAGCAGTCCCTTTGTATTAAATTCCACCTGGATTCTGTTTCTCTTTGGATAGATTGGTTTTTTTAATGTTTACTCATAGCAGTCAGCAAACTATGACTTTTAGATCATGAAGTTTCAAACTGCTTAAATAACAGAAAAAATCTCAACCAGGTAAGAACCAAACAAGACCCAAGACACACCTGGGTTGACTGCTTGCTTGTAAATCTTAAGAAAAAAAATCAGGGTACTTTTAAAACAGTTTTTAAAGGAAATTATTTTCTGTAGATGTGTTTTCTAATGGAAGACAGAAGACCTTTCTGACTACAAACTCACCCATCAGCGTTCTTCTCTCTCAACAAAGCAGCAGTTTCTATTAGCTTTTTCCTTCTCTCCCATTGTTTTCTTTGCTTTTCCTGAACCTTTGAACAACAAAACAAATAGTTTGCACTTTACATGGCAATTATATATTGGATCACTACTGCATGGACTGAATTTTCATTTTTTGCATCTTAGATAGCTTAATGTAAGACAAAAGACAACTTCCAGAGTTCCATTTTAACACCCGAATAAGCTGTATTTCAGCATGTCTGATTCAGATGGCAGAATTTTAAGTATATAGACTTGTAAAACTTGAATACCCAGAATAAATAGTCTTACATTTTCTTTATTTTCTTTTTCTTTGTTCTCTTTAAATTCTACATTTTCAGCATTAATGTCCATTGTTTCTTGCTCTTCTGTTTGGTTGATCTCCATAGCTGCTTCAGTAGTAGATTCCTCTTCTGTTTCCTGTAGGGAAGTCTGCTTCTCATCAGTCAATCCATTGCTTTCTTCTTCCACTAGCACATTATCTTCAGGTTCTGAAGGCAGAGTCTCTGTAGATAATGTCCCAGAGAGGAGACTATCCACTTTGCTGAGAGGAAATTCATGAAGATTATTGAAAAAAAGTTTTGGAAATCCAAAACAACTGGTAGCAGCTCTAACGGGTCCCCCTCCTGGATACATCTGAATAATGGATCCATAGCCTATAAGAGCAAAAGAATCAAAAACACATTGGAAAGCCAGAATTTCTTAAATTGCTTAAAATTTTCTACATTTCTAAAATGCTTAAATGAAGCATTCCTTTAAGAATAGGGAAGTAAATTGCCTGCTCTTAATCTAACCTTCATCACATTTAACAGGCTGCTGAAGTATGCCTCTAAGGTAGAAAATCTTTACTGGAGAGACAACAATTACTGCAACTCAGAAGGATAAGGTAACTCAAAGATTATGCATATATTAAACATGTACTTAGGATTAGCACAGAACATTTAAGCAGTGACAAGTTGTTAGAAAAGCTAATTTAATGAACAATTAAAAGACAAATTTTCGATAGTATTTGTTACTTGTAACTATTGAGTGGTTTTGAGAAAAAATAAAAAGCTAATTTAAACAGCATTAATAGGCAAAGAATTTCTTCAACATCCAGACTCTAAAGGAAGAGACGTCAGATACTTAAACATACTAGAAAGAACATTTCAATAGTTATATTGAAATTGCATCTTATTTAATTCACTTCAGAAAGCATCCCTATAGCCAAAAATTGCTGAAACAAAACCAATTTATAGCATAACTGCCTGTGTGCTTCTCAGCCAACAGACAGCACATCTGGGTGCACAGTATTGCATCACACTTCCTACCTTTCCAGGCTTCTGGAGTATAACTGTCACCTCTGTTTAGTGTCTTTGAATGACTTATGATGAAACTAATTAACTGAGTTTGAGAAATAAAAAACAAGTCAAACTTCTCCTAGAATACACTCAAGAAAACGTCATATACTACTTTTAAAATGCACATCTTGCAGACATTAAATCTCTGGCACAGTGAACAAGAGGAGTGACAACATTTTCAGTGCTGCAGGCTGTCTGAATTCCAGCGTTACTATTCCTGTTTTCTGCCATTCAGTTTCCTGGACTTCTCAGGTGCCTGGAAGAATCTGCATACAAGCTCCTTACAGCCTTTTCTGAACACAATGTCATTATGCTAAAGAAAATAAAATAGATCTACATACAGTGATACCAACTTTAAATTTCATATTTTTTTTTAAATAGTGAAAAATAAATCCAACTGAAACATGCAAAATACAACTTTCTCCAATAGAAAATCAAGTATCTTTTTGAATACTGAAGACAGTAAAAGTAGATTTTAAAAACCGAGAAAGTATTTTGAAGTACTGCCTTTTAAAAGTATCACAAAGATGCATATTTCTTAAGTTTCAAGTAAGCCCGCAGTCAGTACGTTACTAAAGCTGCTGTGTTACTTGCCTCCCATTCGTTCCATCACCGCACCCAGCACAAGGCCTGCACATGTTTCCATTACAATCATCTTGTTGCCAGCACGGATGTTTCCTAAAGTCAACATCTGAGCTAGGGTGTCATATCGCAAGTGGCTAGAGGACAGAGGGTTTTAAGAAATACCAAATTAGTTTTCTTACAGTTAGAAATCCTGTGTATTAGCTCAGGAGCCTGTCAAAAAAAAAGCTGGATTACAGGTAGATTTTTGGGAACAGGATCAGTGGCCATCACAGTCACCATGCAGAAACTTATAATTAACCAACTGGTAATAAAGAAGCCCTAGAACCAGAGCCAACAAGGAACTAGCAGGGAATAGGTGTTTAGGTTTACAGACAAAATAGCAGAAGTAAGATATGAAGTTGCATGCATATAATAAAGCGCACATCTCATACTGTGCCAGTCAGACAAAATATTTTTTTAAACTACTTTTCAATTTTTTGTTGTTCTCTCTAACATGTCAGTTTTGCAAAGAACAAATGGTATTTGAACACATTTCCTAACCCAGTAATGTATCCTCAGTGATTTTCACCTGTTTCAGAGCAGCACGCACCACCTGCAATCCAGGATCAAAACCTAACTCTGCTGACTGCAGCTCCTCCACTGATAAGACTCGGTGATGGGCAAGAAAATTGCAACTAATCTTAATAGACAAAGCAAGCCATGTGAAGGAGATGGGAGAAGGAGAAGGGAAAAGGTTTGAGAAGCCTTAAATAGCATAAATGGCATTCTTTTCAGTCTCAGCATCTTAGACCTACTTTTAAAACAATAAAACAGTCCATCGTAAACAATGTATAATTTAATCTAGGCAAATGAAAATCAAACCCAGCTAGCGTTCTGCCCACCCTATCCCCCCAATGTTAACCACCTGTTTTTAAATTCTGGAGACTTCTCATTGAAGATTTGATTCCCTAACATGTTTAAGACAAAAATTCCTGTTTCTGGTGGGTGGCTTATTTTGATTACTGAGCCAGAAAACAGAGACAATATGCCACTGACCAATGACAGATAAGAGATTCCTCTGCAAATGCAAAGAGCCTCTGTCTACACAGGTAATTAGCAAGACAGTGGTGGCAGGGAAGGTAAAAACTGATGCTGCATGCAAGAGAGTTTTCACTGCAATAGCATATTGATTCATCTTCTTTATCATATTATTTTTCATTAATTTACAGTCTTTCCATTAACAGGAAAAAAAGGAAGAAATGTGATGGTATTATATACTCTGGAATAATATAGGTATTTTGAAAAATACTAAAATATCTGTTATAATTTGAAAAAAGAAACAAAATGGAAACTTACTTAATCTTTCCAGGTTCTCTTGCATAATACATTGTTGAAAGAATACGAGTGGATGGTTTCACAATTGTAATAACTGCCTCATATCTGTAAGAAACACACAGTAGTGGTCTTATTTCAAGCTCAACAAATTTAGAAAACTACTAAGTATTTTCCAGATTTTAAAATTCACTTACTTTTTTTTCTTCTTCTTTATGTATTTATCTTGAGCAAATTCTGTTTTGTCTCTGAATGTTGTACTGTTCTCTATTAACTGTTGAACTATTTCCTTGGAAGAGACAATTTATTTTTATTATAGCTGGTATCTATTTCTCGTTCATTTCATATATAGTATTTTTTAAACAAACACTTAAAGTATTTTCTCCTGTGGAGGCATGTATACCATTAACTTCTACTGACATTAATGGCAAAATAAATTTCTACTGATCAACATGACACCTGAGGCACTACCCTGACCATGTGCAGGAATTTAATCATATACTTCTGCCCCTAGGTGTTTTATCACTACATAATGTCAGCATAAAAAATTATAAAACTGGAAATGCTTATCCTGGAAACAGGATATTTTGTGGGGAAGGAGTCTGGTAGGTGCCAGAACTAACTTGTGAGAGAGGGCAGACTCATATGGCCAGAAATTAAGAAAAAGCAGGTTTGTTTCTTTCAGCATCAGCAAGTCATTACTTCAGCTCTTACTGTGAAGCCTCAGCACCTACATATTCTATCCTATGCTGAATGTCTAGGAGACTACCTTGCTTAGTGATTATTTTTAATTTCATTTCATTGATTTAGGATGAGGCAGAGTTATGTTTATTGTCAGTTATTATGGAACAGCTGATGTATATTCTGTCAGTCTAACATTCCCCATGGTAACTGGTTTACATGACAGTACCCTAAGTCCTGCATGAAGCTCTACAGGCAAAAATATTTTACAAAACCAAAACAAAACAAGGAACCTGATGTCATATATAATATTTACTTTAATCCAACTCCCTCTTTGGGTCTCTTATCTGACTTTAGCACCTCTATCTCTAAAGGTATCTTTTTTCCCATCTTGTGCTAGTTCTTCCCCTATACTCTGGCTATTTATCAGACATCTCCCTTATCCCACTTAATTTCTTCTGCCTCCCAAATTGTGCTAGACTCCTGTACCAGCTCCTTGCACAATGTCAAACTCCTTAGCATTTACTATTTCCTACAATACTCCCTCTGACTTCTTCCTTCGCTAGCTCCCAGGTTTCCCCAGAACACCAGGCTTTGTTTCCTGGTCTCCTTGTTCTAATCTCCTCCCTTTGCCAACCCAACTCTTCCTCCTCGTACTTTCAGGTTCCAGCTGGAGGAATCGTTAAGACCTCCAACAGAAAAAAGCTTTCATTGCTCAGAGTTTGTCCCCATGCCTGCAATACAAGAACAAATGCTGCAGAGTGCTACTTTGGTTGTTTGGTTGTTTAACTGCTAAAATCGTAAGTTTCTATTAAACATGTAGGAAGAGCAATAGTATAACCTGGGCTCACAGGAGTTTGGAGAGGGTGGTGGTGAGGAATGACAAAAGGAGTATTTTCAACATGGACACTGCATCTCCCATTGCACTTGAAAAACCTGCTCCAAAATACAGTGGTGCAAGTACTTCTCGCATTCTATTGCTATTTTTCAAGCCATTATTTCTTAAAGCTCTTCAAGCACTTGAAACGTACTATTAATGCCATGAAACAGCGTATCTTTCTTTTTTTGCCTTATTCTTGGAAAAAGTTAAATGCAGTGTCTGGGTTATTTGGGGTTTTGCTACTTCCCCCCCCCCCCCCCCAATAATTTACAGCGAGGAAACTGGGTAGTATTTCTGTAGGGTAAGCAAAACAAGCCAAAGGGAAGCTGCAGCACTATGCAATGCCCTGGGAGTACATGTCACTTGAAGTCTGCATCCTAACATCTATCCTTCAGGACCTGAGAAGGATTTGGGAAGTGATGGAAAAATCAAACCCCATTAACACTGTGGTTGCTTTATTTCAAAGAACAATCATCTCTAAAGTGAGCCTGTGTCGCAAAGACATGCCATTCACAAACATGAGTTCAAATTTTACCAGACATTTATGGAAGAATAGTATCTACTGCTAATACAACACAGTCTAACATGAATATTCAGCTACAGTTCAGAAGCTAGAGTTAACAAAATAGGATTTTTTTGATAACCTAAAATAACAGTATGGTAGATATATGGCACAGACATGCTGAGGACATACAGAGCTGCAACAGATAATAAGAATGAATAGAAAACATCAAAGCTATCAGACTGATTAGTACATTCTTCTCAAAAAGATAACACCACGAGTAGCACAACCATGGAAACAGAAGAAATACCATTCTAAACTCCTTGGACCCATCCATTATTAAGCAGGCAAAAGCAGAACAGCTGCTCTGAAGAGCAGCAGCAAACAGCAAGATGGAGAGGAGATGAACTTGATGTAAGCATAAGCCATTTCTTATTTTTATTGGAAATGGTAAACCAAAGATGAGAGAGAATTTTGACTGATAACATATGCAGAACAGAACTGGCTGCAATGGTTATTAACATTTAAGATGGCCTCACTTCTTGTTGACAAAATGCGGGGTAAAATCCAATCTCTATTCTAACAGAACTGAACTGATCTTTTGAGAATATTCTTAGCTTTTGAGGTGCAGATAAAACACCGGCATCACATGCGTTTGGTACGTACTGCCTAAAGGCGTGCTCATAGTACATTTGTTATATAGTGTAATTGGTTATTACTTTGGTGTTTATCCATAATCCTTTCCTTCTCCTTTGATAGTTTAATTACTGCACAATTTTAATATGTCTGTAATATAGAAATAATATTTTTAATCCAAAACTAAAAGGTGATTATGTGAGCTGTATTTCCTTAACAGCTTTAATATTTCTGTCTGTTATGACTTCTCACGCCACAAAAATTCATACTTTACTCTCTATTGAGAAAGTTGCCAACCTTACATGAAGTTTTCTCTGAAAATAGCCTTTTCATTTTTGTAAAAACAGATCTTTAGGAAAAACATGACTTGAGCAGAAGAACAAAGAAAAAGCACTGAAGTCTATACACCGATAAAAAGAATAGCCTATTTCATAAACTAAAATATAACCATCAAGGTAGCACAGAAATGACACCAAAACCTTATTTTTTACCTGTCCTTTAATACCCTTGTCCTTCAAAGCCTTTATGTCATCATGAGTCAGTTTTTGAGACTTTCCATCGTCAACTATGTTACGATTATCTGTACCTGCTTCTTTTGCGTCTAAAGGAAAAGGATATAGACTTGTAAAATCTAGCTCTAAGTATCTTTAAGTTGGAGAAACACATGATTTTAGTTTCACAGAAAGCAGACTCCTCAGGATTAAACCCACATGCTTCATGGCCTTGCAAAGTATTGCCTAAGCAATCAATGAAATGTAGTATGTAAAAAACACTTTAGTATATATATTTACCCCAACTAAGGTTCAAATTTTCTCCCATATTAAAAAGCTGATTTGTTACAGGACTAGTAAAACAGCAGATCAAGACAAAACCATGGACTTTTATGACAGAAAGAATGTAAGTAATCTTAAGTTAACAAATGATTAATAGAAAGATTTTCCATCATCTTTGGTATTATCAAAGAAACAAATTAATTAGAATTCATTTTTCCAAACACTAGTCAATCCTCTGTAATACCTGTGGTAGTCTCTTCCACCTCTTGCTTTGGCTGGAGGTTTCCACCAGTGGTTACTTCAAACGTAGTTCCATAAATATGTCCAATAGCATTATCCAGATAGAACCACTGCTTCTCAAAAATAATTTTTCTGAAACAATAGAAAAGTTAATGATATTAAAAGCATTATTTTTACTATGTCTAAAACCCACAATAGTTGAAAGTAAACTATAGCTTCATATATGTCATTTCTATCTATATCCTCCAAGAAAACCAGGACAAGCATAAAAAGTGAAATACTACTATTAACAGCTAAACCACATTAAACTGAAACTGGTTAGGAAAAGAACAAAGAACTTAAATCGAGCATACAGTAAGAATTTTTTTTTTCCAGTTCAAAAGAACTCTAAAATGGCAGATAAAACAAGGACCTAGCATTTGAATTATACAGTACCATTTCTGACAGAGAAAGTCGGAACAAGGCAAAGAATGAAATTCATCTAAAGTACATTAAATCTAGGCTGGGTCATGCAGATTAGTGCAAAAAGATGAGCATGAACCTGTATTTTGCAGAGCTTCTTTGACGTAACATTTGGCAAAGGACTATGAAGAAAACAGAAAGCAGAGAGTGTCATGTAATCCTAGAAATGTTTAATACGGGGCGGATTTTATTATCCGTTTCATTTTGACTGCACTAAGGGAGGTTTGCATTTTTCCTTCTTCACATGAAAAAGCACCTACAATGCCTTTAACTTTCAGGCTGACCTACAAAGGTTTCCTGGCTGACCAGAGAAATATCGATCTTGTCAAATGAAATGGGTACCAGTGTCTATGCCACACTCACATTTGAATCAAAACTTACTGATGCGAGCTCTTATTACGCTGATTATACTCATCACTAATTCTGACGCTATGCAAAAAGATTGAGTTCTTTGTTATTTCCAGGTTTCTACTGACTGAAGTACACAATTCACGCATATATTTTAAATATGATATTATTTGTATCTCAAAATACAATCCAGAATTTAAATAAAGCATAAGAATAAAAAGCTTTGTCAGAGACATTACCAAATCCTCTTAATAAAAAATTACGGACATTATACTTGCTCATGTAAAGTCTATTAATACCTGCCAACCCAGATTTTAAAAGACTAATAAATGATTGTAAAACACTTGAAATGACTGAAAAGAATTTAGATAGATAAAAAATTGGGTGCATGTGCTCAAATTTCATTTTGGTGACCACTCTAAACAGACTATCCAACCACAGCTACTGTCACATGTTCTTGGCATGTACTTACCCTCATCAGATTATAGAAAAGGAAAAACTAATGCAAAAATTATTTAATTTCCTGTGGCAATATTTACTCTTTGATTTTTTTTATTATTTCTTTCTGTTATGATAGGGGTTTTAAACAAAAACTGAAGAGGGACCTAATGAACAGATCTTGGCAGTGCTCTGCAGGCTAACAGAGTAACTACCTGATTTTGGTGCCAGATTCTACCAGTGAACATTAAGCCTGTCAACACCCAGTACTCACAAATTCCTAGGTCTGAGCTATGCCATTTTTAAACCAGTCTCATTCAAGCACAATACCTTTAAATCTCCATGCTACTGAATCAGATGTCTGGCCTCAGTACCCAATACTGACTCTTACACATTGGTCTATAAAATTGTCTGCTGCAATGGGAAGAGACCAGGCTATGTCCACTGATTACAGTATTTCCTGCTGGGGTGCAGGCGCTTCTTGCTATGCCAGCTGGCCTAGGAAAAAGAAATAGGAGACCTTTCAGAGCATCCTCTCCAAAGCAGTAACCATCCAGAACTGACAGCTAGCATCTTCATACAGTCTAACACCGATGAGAATACTGAAACCAATCCCTATTAATAAGGCAGTGCTGCACCTCGCAGAAATTACATGCCACAGCAAGGTAATATGATGAAGACACACTTCTCAGGCTGCTGCGCCTCTTCTCCTATTCAATCGGCACCGGTTTGCCAACGACAACACAAAGCCATATTAAATACTTTTCAAATTCTTACAAGAAACGCAGCCAGGAGATCTTCCGGGGTTTTTTTCCGTCATAGGAACTGAGGCAGCATTAAAATCTTTCACGCTGCCTCTCACATGGGCCTAACAAGGCCGTTGTTTCTCACTGACACGGCCGGAAAGCCGTTGGTCACAAGGGCCGCACCGAGACCCCCCCCTCCCCTCAGGCGGGGCCGCGCGACGACCGTTGGAGTCCCCTCACGGGAGGGTGGGGGAGGGAAAGGCGCAAACCTCTGCCTAAGGGCGGGGAGAGAGAGATGACAAGCGGGATCGAAAGCCCCAGACCGGCCCCTCACCTCCGCCGTAGCACGGGTACCGCTT